GACAAAAATCACCCAAGAATTAATAAGAACTAAAATAGAGTTGTGGTAAACTGAATACTCTCCCCTGCAAATCTTTAGGAAACATAATGAAATTATTTCCTTCTCCACAAAATGTTGGCACCGCACTAGAGCTTAGAGCTTATCTAGTTTGGCAACTTTGTTTATAGACATAGTAAATGCACCCAGGGTCTTGACTCAAGGCTGTCCACAATTAGTGGTGGTTCTTAAAGTACTTCCTTTAACAATACAGACATGGACCGGCGGAGTGGCTGACTTGGGATGCCAGCTCTGAGCAGGAGAGCCCCGGTTTGGATCCCACATTCGGGCCAGTGACGCTGCGCCCGCTATAGCTAAGATGGTGAACAACAGCTTGACCTGGATCTGGGCTGCCGTGAGTTGTCAGCGATAGCGTAGGCTGCAGTGGGGCTGGCCTGTGGCTGGTGTGAGCTGCCGTGAGTGCCTGGTGGCCAGCAGCCAGCATGAGCTGCCAAGAGCCTCGGTTCAGTGATTGGCGGCCGAACTGCTTCACCTGGGAAGAGCGCAATGATAATACCAACATGGACCAGTGAAGTGACATCCTCCAACTAGACTGAAGAACAAAAAGACAGCAACTTGTCTGTTCCCCTCCCCCAATGCCCCAATAAAATCTTTAAGAAAAAACCCCAAAAAACAGAGTTTTACTGCATTTTCATCCTCAAGGAATATCTGAAATTGTTTGCTCTATCTGTTGGTGGATTTTGGGACTATACTCCTCCTGGGGGGAAAAAAGGTCATTGTACTATTTGCTTGTCTTAGCTTAACCTTTATAGCTAGGAAACTTTGGTGTTCCAATTTTCTTTTCTCTTTCTGGTCCATGTTATACCATATTTCTCCATGTATAAGACACACCCTTTTTCAAAAAATTTGGGGTCTAAAAACTGGGTGCGTCTTATACAGTGGTTGTATGAATGCAAAAACAAGCGCGAAAAAAGCAGCAAATACAAGTAAAAAAACCCTACAACCACTGTATAAGACGCACCCAGTTTTTAGACCCCAAATTTTTCGGAAAAGGGTGCGTCTTATACATGGGGAAATACGGTAGTTCTCCAATTTTCAGCAATAACTAAAGGAACGGGCCATTTTTGTTTATTTTTTCAACATGTAACCTTCTATAACAATTTGGTTTAGAGGACTGAGCCGAAATTCAAGCTTGGGGATCCAAATTAAAGGTTTTAGTTGACTCCATATTTACGAGGCTCTCAAAAGAACATGGGCAACAAGGGCCCAAGGAAATTCTGGGGTCAAAGTCATGTAGTTTCCCATAAAGAAGCCAGAGGTGGACCTCCATTTTCACACAGCATAATATCAAAATAGCTATGGATCAGAGACTTTCACTGCATGGTATTTGAAAGTGAGCTTTANTTTGCTTGTCTTAGCTTAACCTTTATAGCTAGGAAACTTTGGTGTTCCAATTTTCTTTTCTCTTTCTGGTCCATGTTATACCATATTTCTCCATGTATAAGACACACCCTTTTTCAAAAAATTTGGGGTCTAAAAACTGGGTGCGTCTTATACAGTGGTTGTATGAATGCAAAAACAAGCGCGAAAAAAGCAGCAAATACAAGTAAAAAAACCCTACAACCACTGTATAAGACGCACCCAGTTTTTAGACCCCAAATTTTTCGGAAAAGGGTGCGTCTTATACATGGGGAAATACGGTAGTTCTCCAATTTTCAGCAATAACTAAAGGAACGGGCCATTTTTGTTTATTTTTTCA